GGAAGGCAACGCACTCGGGTTCGGGCAGTCAAAGGACCACTAGATTTAAAACAGAAGAAATTCGTAGAGACATATAGTCGTCCAAAAAGTGGCAGAAGCCTAAAGATATAACCCGGGAAGTCTAGAAGAAATCAATAACAAATGCTGAAAAGAATCCCGTAAACACTCACATCCTAACAAGGTTTCTTTCTCGTCATATGCAAATGCGGTTCTAAATTTCTCTGTAATTTCTGGGTCTACTACCACGCCTGGTGTTTCCAATACACTAAATGTTAAATCACCCGCGCAGCTTGATCGGCTCTGGGGCAAACCGACCGTGGACGAGTACATCTCGTGCACAGCGGGGGAACCTAAGCTTGAATATGAATCAGGGGGCATGGATCCTCCAAAGACCTTCCTAGGCCCTTTCAACCACGATGGAACACCCACGCTCCACGCGCTACTCTCTCTGCTCAACGAAGGGTAGTCAGGATCAATGAATGAATTGGAAGTGGATGGTGGGTACGTGTGTTCAAAACTCGAAGATGTGTGAGCGGCAGTTTTGGGGGGCTATTTGTTCGGCGCGGAACGTCGGGGGTGGAAAGTGCATGTTTCGGCGTGTTAGTCACAGCGATGAAAGAGGAATCGGTCCGTCGAGAAACATGAGTGAAATCCTCGGGCTCTGAGATCGTTCCCGGAGCAGCGCTCGCACTAACGCGTCCAAGGGATATGGTCTCAGAAAATGGCCGCAGAAACGAGGTTAGCCGGAAAGCTGATGATGATTTAGGAATAACATTCTCCGCTGGCAAACTTGTGGTGCGATCAATGGTATGGGCAGTATGTCGCGGCGTGGTGGTGTCCAAGACCATCTGGGGAGAGCCCGATCAGGCAAGGTACGATGAGCTCGAACGGCATCACGGATCTGGTCAAGCGCAGAGGGCAGGTCGTGGAAATAGGCAAAAAAAAACGAATCAAGAGAGAATTGCCCCTCTTTTTCAAAGACTTTGACCTCAATAGTCTCACTGAAATCCATGGCTGAAGACTTCTCAACATCCAATATCGCAGAATACGGAATCGCAATCTTGAGTGTCGGGTTCGGATGAGATCAATACTAATCAATTAAATTACGACGCACCTTCACGCTTTCGCCCATATTTTGAGCTTTGAATATGACCTTGCGGATCGCCTTGACCCATTCTTCGCGACTGGGCACGGAGTCTGCGGATAGAATAACGGTCCTTTGGTTTGTTCTTAGACGGAAATCCTTTTCACCAACGGACTCGCAAGAAATAGCATATCGCAAATCCACAATGCCGTGTGGAAAATATGGGTCCTATGAAAAATTTATCAAGACTGCATTAATCCATAGCTACGCACTCACCGAGGAGGATTGATACCAGGACAGCGCATCGTTCTTCAAAACAAACCAGTGCTTGATCCATCGTTTGGTTCGCTGTGCCTTTTTGTTAAGCGATCCTGATTTCAGCACTTGATCCTAGATGAGGGGTGGCATCAGAAGAGTCGAAAGCATCCCAGCAAATACGAACCTCTCTTGCTGGCATATGTGCAAAAAAGCACAAGTACGAATTTGTCAAATACATATAACCCTGCAACACTGTATTGATTTTAAATACCAGATATGAGAGTGTAATAAAACAGATTGTATGACTTACGAACAGAACGCAAAAGCCAACATGGCATTTCTGGAAAGTTTAGTATCGGGATAGGGGTGGGAGCGATGCCGATGACGTACCTGCCCGCACCTCTTCTATGCCATCCAACTCGAACACATCCTTTAATTTCTCTGCCAAGCGTGCCCTCCGTTGAAGCCTCACCGTTGCCATACTGCCGGCACGACTTGGATTAGCACGAGTAATAATCGGAGCTACAATAGGATAATGATGATTCGCTATGGGTGCGCTTTGAGTGGGGATTTGCCGTTCCCTCGCAGCATCTGATAATCTAGGGGTTGTTTCCTCAAAATCTTCGGGTTCAACTTCGTCCTCAGAATGGGGGATTCTATCCAACTCTTGTTCATCATCAACAAGGAGAGGGGAGACATGATTGGAGGGTCCAGGAATGCTCAATCGACGGGAAAGAGCGACAGGACGATGAATAGTATGGATTGAAGAAGCCAGGCGCGCAGCTTCGTAATATTAGTTGTATGCGTGAAATAAGAATAGGAAACCTCACGAGGTCCGGGTCTATATTCACCCTCATCTTCACTCTCGGAGTCTGCGGGGCTTAGGTCATGGTGCATGGCGTCATCATCAATATCAGAGTCATTCCAAGGGAGTGCTTGAAGAGCCTGGATAAGCGTCTGGGTTCCAGCACGCATCTGCATTATCAAATGGGTGAGTATAGGTTGGTCAGGATGTTGGAAAGCGCACCGAGCCATCACCACGAAAAGGAATCAAAGTTGGTCTGCTTGTAGGTGGGGGAGAGGGTGGAGAGATGAAGGGGGAATCATCTTGAGAAGCTGAAGGACGACTTGGCTGGGGCTGAGCAAGGGCAGGAGAGGATGGACGTGATGCAAGTGGAGTCTTTGTAACAGATTGAGGCGACATATCTGAATGGCCGTTAACGGTGTACAAGCATGTAAGAAACGAAGATCTCACCGCCACTGTCCCCAGGCTGGACCCTTCCTTTACCCTTCCGGCTCAAACTGAACATCCGTTTGTGACCGGTAGGAGGCGGAGTTACAGGTGATTTGAGGTTTGTAATGCTCTTGTTGAGCTTATCGACGGTCTTCTCGACCGCTGCGGAAAGGCGTTTTACGCGATTTGGGGTAGATCCGACATCCTTTTGTGCTTCATCTAGTCGTGAACCTGATGGCGCCTCTGGGAACTCGAGAGCCTGTGGAGACGTATCCACCACCGGTGCAACCAAAGCAGAATGAAGGACAGGCTGCAAATTGGGATTCTTGGACATCTGGTAATTCCAGAAATATGATCCGGGATGTGATATATGGTGGAAATGATTAGGCAGACGTTGAAGCTCGGTCTGCCTGCGGAGGTCCACGGCGCACGCTGCGAGCTGGGGCAAGCATGACTTGAAAAGACAATTCCAAAATGGGACTCGGCAATTGCCGTGAACCCACGTTCTTGTCGCGAGTTGTAAATTGTTCGCCTTGAACGAACCACGAGTCGTCCTTTAAACGCAGCTGGCTGTCCCCTTCGCCCATCTGTCTTCTGCTTTCTTCCCCCTTACGCGTCCTTGATCAGCCTAAATAATGCGCGGAGAAGTATGTGTTGGCTTTGCCTCCATTTTGTCGTGAGTTCCCCCCCAAGCGAGCACCCAACCATACACAACTCCTTCATCAGGTTTGCATCATTGCTTCTGCTACTTTTTGTGCATGTAAGCTTGACACTATCTACCGTCACCTTTGCCATCTTATCCGATGTGATAGTTCGGCCAGATAAATACCTCAACGGTTCCTCGAGGCATAGCAATGGTGCGTCTAGTGACATTCCTTGAGAACATCCGGTTAACATCAGGCCCCCAGGCCAAACTCAACGTCTCGGGATATGGGTCAGTAGCCCGATCCATGTAGTTATCGTGCATTAATCGCCCTGCGTTATGCAGTGAATCCCTACACCGAGCGTTCTTTGATCCTATCGAAGGCCTCTATACTGCAAATGCGTCTGCTCCACTGATGGCGGGCGCGGGGCTGAGACAATTCTACCGCTTTGGCTTGTATTCCCATTGCGCGTATATCGACGACAAGCAGGGCCTTTGTGGGAACCACACAATCGGAGACCAGTTCCAACCATATGATGCCATAACGTCTGACATGAGTGCTAATTACACGGCTTTCACGAACGCTATCATTTCTTCCACCTCCACTTTCCGAGACTCGAGCTACCTCGGTCAATCATCCAAGGCTGCATATTGGATGTTGCTACTGGGCACAATATGCGCCGCACTTGCCTTGATCACGTCCGTCCCCGCCTCTTGTGATTATACATAACCTCATTACCTTGTTATCCAGCGGTTTTGCCAAAAACAATTTCACGTTCTTCCTATCCTCAATCGCTGCCATAGCCGGCAGCATCATGGTTCTCGTCAGCGCAAGTATATGGACTGTCCTCGTCAATAAATCGGCAGCAGTCAATAATATCATCATTCAATCACCCGGAACCCAAATACTAGTTGGGATCGAGCTTTCTGCTGGGACAGGTTTATTTATGACATGGGCAGCTTTCGCATGCCTATTTGTTTCGGTTGTGCCGTACATGGTCAGGTACGAATCTTACATCCGCTCAAAAAATATTTTGAGAGTGTTGACTTGTTACAATCATAGCTGCTGTACATATCGAGGATAACACCTTCTAGCCTGACTAGATGGTATTTATATGCTACTGCTACTGGATGATGTGTATCAAATTGGCTACCGATATATAGGTGGACCGCTGAATATCTGTTGTCCACGGCACGACTCCCTTTCAACATTACTTATCTATATATCATTCACAATGGTTGAACCGACTCATGTATTTACTACTAACACATAGATTGGATAAAGAGGCAGGATCGGGAAACACGTACCGGGCTGACACTTTGACATCTGCCCCCCCCCCCCCATCGGAGTCATGGTCATCAGTATTCATCATCATCATTCATTTTGGTATGATCCTTGGACCGAGGTCCATATGGGGTAGCCAACAGAATAACTGAAGGGTGTAGGTGGGGAAACTCTGGGTTGAAAACTAGGCCACGCTTTGTGTACACTGTAGACCCTATAAACGAAGTAACTGGCCTTGGGTTTGACTCCCGGGTTTGCGTCCGATTGTCAGCATCTATTAAGTACCTGTCCGGATGATCGGTATCGGCCCGGATGGCCCTTCTTCCGTGATCCGGGTTGAGAGTTGGGGGCTATGGCTTGGACCATGATGCATGAAGCTGGATGAGGCCTTGGAATTGAGGCTTGCGGTGATCAGACCGACAGGACCGGAAAAAATGACACGCGGCTCAAACAACATCTAACCACGCATATACTTTTGTATGATGGAAAAAACATTAGCCCACCGCGAGGGTCGAACTCGCAGCCTTCAGATAACACATCGGAGTGGGATCACAAACCCGCCTAAGAGTCTGACGCTCTATCCGATTGAGCTAGGCGGGCAATACCCAGTTGGCTGATGGAGGGAGTATTAGTGTGAGGTCTTGTGAAGTCTGGTACAAAAAAAGTCAGAGATGGAGGATAGGTGAGAAGTCTACTTTGCATTTTGGAGGTGGGAGGAATCTGCTCATACGTAAGGGCGCCCACCGCCAACAGGTCCGAGGTCCAGAATCAAGTAGTGCTGGTAGTAATATTTGTTCTTACCACAGGCTCCCACTAATGATACGCAGGCTTGACCAGACCACAGCTTTGGACGCCGATTCCTATCACGATTATTTGTTTCAACTTTGCTGACCAAATGTGGCCTCGTTTGAAACCGACCCTGCAGTTGCCAAGACCGCAAACCATTTTTCATTTAAACTCATCCCACTCTCTTGCCTTCCACATTTTTTCAGTGGGCACAGCTCCATCACACACCCTCTCTTGATCTATTCAGCATCCTTCTCGTTTTCTTCTTCTTCTAGTTTCAAGATGCGCAACGCCGCTGCGCTCGTCACTGCTGCAGCGCTCATTACTGGGGCTCATGCCATCGGCAAAGTAACTCGTGCTGGAAGATATTTGTACAATGATGATGGCACACGATTTTACATCAAAGGAATTGCCTATCAAGAGCAGGGCGAGTATTTATAAACTTCCTTGTCGGAAGCTAATTTTATTCAACTCCTCTATGAATAGGAATCGTCGTACAAAGCGCAGGCAACGATTTTGGCGAACCATCAAGTTTCACTGACCCTCTTTCTCTGGACAACGCCTGCACCCGTGATTTGCCGTTTTTGAAAGAACTCACTGTCAACACACTCAGGGTGTACAGTGTTGACTCCTCCTTGAACCATGATTCATGCATGAAGACATTTAGTGACGCAGGCATTTACACTATGTAAGCTTTCCCCGCACTCCTATCATCACCAATTACTCAATCGTTGGCAGTATCGATTTGGCCCTTCCGTTGAATGGTTCTATTGACCGAATTGTCCCTTCTTGGTCTACCAACATTCTTAACCAATACATCAAAACCATTGACGCCTTCAGTAAATATGATAACGTCCTTGCGTTTAACGTTGGAAATGAAGTCGTTGTTAACAACGGGACCGCTGTCGCTCCCTTCGTCAAGGCCGCCGCTCGAGATGTTAAGGCATATCTGTAAGCTGCCCGCTTCAAGCAATATTTCATCAATTTACTAACCCGCAAAAGCGAGTCTAAAAAGTCCAATGCGCTCGTCGGTTACGCGGCAATCAATGGAGCTGCCACCTTCCGCGATCCTTTAGCCAATTACCTGACCTGTGATCCCGATGGTAAGGGTTCTGGCGCAACCGCTATCGATCTTTATGGTCTCAATGACTAGTTAGCTCCCTTCACCCCATTTGTTCGGTCCGCTGATACTGACATTGGGACGTCAGTGAATGGTGCGGGGACTCTTCATTCCAAGCTGCTTATGCAGGAACTACTGGCGATTTTGCTGGCTACAATGTTCCAGCATATTTCAGTGAATTTGGATGCATAACCCCTGGTCCTCGCCTATGGACGGAGCCGACAGCACTCTTTTCCTCCGATATGTCGCCCGTTTGGTCTGGTGGCATCGCATTCTCTTATTTCCCAGCCAGTAGTGTTCAGGGGCAATTCGGCATGGTTAACATCTCATCTGACGGCAAGACCGTGACGACGAGCGACGACTACGACAAGCTCAAGGACAATTATAGCAAAGTAACAGCTACTCCCAACACGCCTAGCCAGTCTGCTGCTGGGTCGTCCACCTACCCCAGCTGCCCTACCGCAAACGACACATTCGTTGCGTCCACCACTCTTCCTCCCACACCAAACCCTGCGGCTTGCAATTGCTTGCTTTCTACTCTCAGTTGCCGGTTTACTCCCAGCACGGCTAACTATAGCGCTGTTGTTGGCTCACTCCTGGACACCGCGTGTAGCCTTTTGGGTGAAAAGGGTGGATCTTGTGTAGATATTGGTGGTAACGGGCAGACTGGTGTTTATGGTCGTTTGTCTGCATGCGACCCCAGTGAGTAACAACGTTTCCGTAAATCTTCCTTTTAACAAAATTCAACCTCAGCTATCAAACTCTCCTATATTATGAGCAAGTATTATGAAGCCAACAATCGCAATGGACAGGCCTGTAGCTTTGGGGGTAATGGCACTGTGAATCCCCTTGCACCCACAACCGCATCGGCGGCGGATACAGCAGCTAGCTCATGCGTGGCAAATCCATCTGCTACATTCGTCCCCACTGCCGCAGCCAGCTCAGGGGCAGGGGGTGCATCAGCAACCGGGGGAGGGGCCACGGCCGGCAAAAATGGGGCGATGACGATCATGTCTGGAAATGCGCTGGTGGGCATGGCAGGTATGGGCATCATCACTGTGGTGAGCGCGTTTTGGACTCTGGCATAAAGTTGGGCGTGATACGTTGGACTTGGATTACTTTTAATATACCCAGCATAGGTTGATATGTGGGACTGGACAGACTTTCTATATAATATCATGTTCAATTTCTTGTTGGATATCAAGTGTGACGACCCTATCTAAGCGAAGCTGAGTGTCAAAGTGACTACGATTATCTTCTAACACCTGTTTCCACTTTCCATCAATCTTTTCAATGGCCATGGCCGTGGACGTCACCCCTACGCTCTGAGATGTTTGGGTTATCCATGTAGAGGGGTCGTGGTTTATGTATATTTTAGGCCATAATCCGACCGACTCGGGGCGATTATTCGCCCACATAATAATAGCTGATGGCACAGCTCCCACACCTTTCCCTTCGCATTCATCAACTTCTTTCCGTTTTGAACTCACCAGCCTCTCCCTAGAGAATTCAACATGCGTAATGCTGCAGCGTTTGCTGTTGTACTCGTAGCTTTCTTCACCAGTGTCAATGCCATAGCCAAAGTATCCCGCGCTGGACGATACCTTTATACCGATGATGGAACTAGATTCTACATCAAAGGAGTTGCCTACCAACAACAGGGTGAGCTCGTATGAGTCCTTGGCTCCAGACATATTAACCACCGAACCCAATGTATAGGTACTGTCGTTCAAAGTGCCGACAACAGCTTTGGCGAACCCTCAAGTTTTACCGATCCACTCTCGCTTGGCGATGCTTGCGCCCGTGACTTGCCCTTCTTGCAACAACTGACCGTCAATACACTCCGCGTTTACAGCGTGGATTCATCATTGAATCATGATTCATGTATGAATGCATTTAGCAACGCAGGAATATACACAATGCAAGTGTTCAGTCTCAGGCGATTCCTATGCCAGCATTCGCTGATTACTCAGCAGTATTGATCTCGCTCTACCTTTGAATGGTTCCATTGACCGGAATTCACCTTCCTGGTCTACAAACCTTCTCGACCAATATATCAAGACAATCGACGCCTTCAGCAAATATGACAATGTTCTCGCATTCAATGTGGGCAATGAAGCTGTCGTCCAAAATAGCACAGCGGCGGCACCATTTGTTAAAGCCGCAGCCAGGGATATCAAGGCATACCTGTGAGTCGCAGGTACACACCCATGCGAACATAGTCCTCATAGTTGGATCCAGTGCCTCTAAAAGTTCCACAACTCTCGTCGGCTATTCAGCCATTAATGGGGCAGGCAACTTTCGTGATCCTCTTGCGAATTATTTGACTTGCGATCCATCAAACGGAAACTCGGGTGCGACTGCCATCGACCTCTATGGTCTAAATGATTAGTTGGTGCACTTGAATCCTCTACCATTCATTCGCTTATGTCGCTCTAGTGAATGGTGTGGAGCTTCTTCCTTCCAGGCGGCTTACGCAGGGACAACAGGCGACTTCGCGGGGTTCAACGTGCCCGCTTACTTCAGCGAATTCGGATGTGTCGACCCCGGACCCCGGCTCTGGACCGAGCCCACTGCCATCTTCAGCACAGACATGTCTCCTGTCTGGTCTGGTGGTATCGCATTCTCTTACTTCCCCGCAAGCAGCGCCGCTGGTGAATTTGGCATGGTCACAATTTCAGCCGATAACAAGACCGTCACCACGAGTGATGATTTCAACAGACTGGTGAATAACTACAGCAATGTCACGTCCCCGCCCAACACGCCCAGCCAATCTGCCGCCGGGGCATCCACCTACCCAAGTTGCCCAACCGCTAATGATACATTCGTTGCATCGACTAATATCCCACCCACACCAAATGAAGCCGCATGCAATTGTCTCTTGAGTACATTGAGCTGCCGGTTCACACCTGCCACGGCGAACTACAGCGTTGTTGTTGGCACGCTACTTGATCAGGCATGCGGTCTCCTAGGCGGGAAAGGCGGAACATGTGCAGACATCGGTAGTAATGGGCAGACTGGTGTCTACGGCCGTCTTTCTGGATGCGATCCAAGTACGTTTCATTCCCTATTCCTCATATTTCTAACCATATCTGTCCATTAGCAATTAAACTCTCCTATGTCATGAGCCTTTTCTACGAAGCCAACAATCGTGATGAACAGGCTTGCAGCTTTGCGGGAAACGGCACGGTTAATCCACTTGCGCCTACATCCCCAACGGCGGCAGATGCAGCAGCCAGTTCCTGCGTTTCCAGTCCGTCCGCTACATTTGTTCCATCCGCAGTCGCCAGCGGTGGCGGGTCTTCTCCTAGCTCCACCGGGGGCCAAGGAACTAACAATGGTGGTACAAGTGGTGGTACAAGTGGTGTACCAACAATCATACCCTCAGACACGCTGGTGGCTATAACAAGCGTAGCTGCTATCAGTCTGTTGAGCGCGTTTTGGGCGGTGATGTGAGCCCTCGATTCAACTTCTTTCAACCACCCACCCGGTGGAATTTGCTACGTCCTTTGAGATTTGACACACCTAGACAATGATGTTTTCACCTTTTGGACAATAATAGTATTTAGCATAGCTGCATTGCACAACGGTGTGACAGGCTAGCTCTAACATCTGTTCGCTCTGCATGCGTCCCTTGTGTAAGGTCCAAGCTTGTCGAAAGCGGAGCCCCTTTTGCGAAATGTTGGCAACGCCA